AGAATAACAAACCAATTATAGTAATGACTTTATTACAACCATAGCAATAGTACCAAATGTGACAATATAACAGAAACAACAAAGACCAACAATTTCATTGATACCAATAATAACGCTAGTGTTAAAAGTAACAGTAGCACATTTAGCAAATCACTGTCCAATGCTTGAAATTGAGAAAACTTGGATTGAACTCTGTGCAGTTCATATTGGTAATATTCATCAAGCGGAATGCAAGTCCCTGTTGTGGACGACTACCTTCTCACTTGTTGATAACAGATTACTGATAGTGATAAATTTCAAGTTTGCGGCTGGTGCAATCAAGGCCATACTGTCAACACCACCTGACGAGCAACGGTGTATTCGCAATGAAGTGACCAAAGCAGTGGCCAGAGAGGCTGACTATTGTCTCAGAAAGAAAATCCCCGACTTTGCTGGAGTTCCTGAAATTCCGGACCTCGAAGAAGGATCCTACGAATATAAGGAGAACGTGTGAGTGGAATTCAAAAGAAAATTTGCGCTCAGAACTTTCAACTCAATGAATGATACTTTCCGAAGTGAAACATCGACGAAAAGTAATATGGATTCACTGCAAAACTCTCATTACTTATCATGCTGACAGGATCATATACCCATGAAATAGATCACAATTTTTCATGTCGAACAGTGATGATTTCATATTTTAGAAGATAAGAATGCTTTAATTTTCAGTATCAGTTCAGTGTCTGACTACATCCTTGTGCACAGTCGACTGGCGTTTTGTTCAGAGCGAAAGCCGGCCCGTGCTGCGGCCACTAGGAAATGCCTCAAAAATCCATTTGTTGGGTACATGGCAAAGCACTGTGAAGGTATCAATTAAATGATTCCGGACTATTTCCTAGAAACTTTGTAATCAGCCGACTACGAAAAGAAAAACCCTAGAAACTTTGCTGGAAACACTTTAAATTGAAACTTTTCCGATAGTAATCGAATAGTATCACTATCAGCGAACGTCTTGAATTGTTTCAACAGCTATTGGCTCTAAATGATCCGTTTAGTAACAAAATCTTTGCAAGGAAGTATCGATTATTCTCGTATTATTACTTAAAACTGATTTTTTTTATCCTATTGAGGATGTGAACACTTTTTTGAAGTAAACTTTTCCGATTGGTTTGAACAAGTGTTTCAATGTTTGTTCCTCAATTAAGCCAATGGTACTAGTGCTTTCGATGAAGATTTCACTCGATGTTGACATTTTCAGTCCTTCACAAATGCACTGAATTAGTTTCGGCCGGTTGTACGGCTAAAATCAAACAGACCAAGAGGGCAACGTGCGATTGCGTTGAAGAAACTCGTACGGATCTGAAAAAGCGAATTTCGAGCATCGCCGGAGCGATCAAGAGTGTTAGTGTAGTTGAATTGCACTAGACGAAAAATTCTTTCTCGTTGATGATTCTCAAATTGCCTGAACTCATCTTACTTCGGATCTCCGAAGTTTTGAGAATTCAAGAATTAGTTCTCAGTTTCTCGGTTGGACACTAGATAAGCGTATGAGTGGATTTTGTTTTCATTATATATGATCAAGAAGTTACTCTTCTTCTGAATGCAGGCAGTAGAGGGTAACGCTCGTGGAGCTCCTGCGATTGGTTCGGGCAGCAAAGTCGACACGTGTGTCGCCAATATTAAGACTCATATGTAAGGCTTCACTCATTCATTTCGCAACAGTTTCATCTTGAATGCGATTGATGATAATGTTGATTCATTTCATTTGCTTGCTATTTTTGTCGTGACTGCGAGATATCCGAACGTAGATAGCAGATAGCTTACTGGAATAACTTCCGCATTAAATCGATCCTTTCAATTATTTTATATGAAAGCAGTTGCCGCTTATTTACGATATCACAACAGGGAAGGAGAGATTAGCTGATAGTTACCGATCAGATTGTTAAAATCTGTTTCGTTCAGGATAACACCAGTGAATGATTGGGTGACTGTGATCGATTCAGCCTTAGGCGCGTGCATCAAAAATAAGCCAGCTGGCCAAAGCCTTGGAATGGACTCATTGCTGAATGTTGGTTGCAGAAAGGTGAGTTGAAATTATGGTGGTGCTAGATCATGAACTGTTAGGGTCGATCGTTATTGTTGTCTCCGGATTTTAAAACTTGACATGAGATTTGGTTTCTTTCAAAGGATATTTCAGAGCAATCTGTTCGTATAATGAATAGGAATTGAGTTCTTATAAGAATGATGCAATGAAGATGTAGGTATCACTATCGTTCCTAGCATTCCAGTTACTCTAATGATGCCAATGAAGGTAAAATTCATAAAGCCTTTCAATGAACAGGTGATCGCTGATACAACCGGAACAGCAGCCACACAACTGAAGGCCGGATTCGATTTCATCAATAATCTCATCGATGCAATGGTTGACCGATCAGGACGTTTTTGTGGAGGACCAAGTTGTGTTGAATACTAAAATGAATTGAATAAATAAGTTAAGAATCACATAAACATACAAATAAATAAATGGGGAAATAAACAGCAAATTGTTCAAATTGAATTATTCGAATATGTTTATTGAATGTGAAATGATGCGACTCACTGAATGTTGTTAATAAATTTTATTTCATTCGAAGCCTTACTTGATGTTGTGGAACATTCATATTACTTCACGTTCCGCGGATGTTTAACTCGCGAAGCAGTTTGAGATTCAGTCAAACTCATATTGTGAAATTTTAGAGTTGATCTTCATTAGATCCAATGCTAAGAAATCTCGAACTGGATACTACCGCTCACTGTAGATGCGTTTTTCTGACCGCCGAAGTCATGCTCTATCAGATCTATATGAGAAGTTGATAAGCTAGCAGAGTGAACCTGAGGATGCTAGCCCACTGATTGAATCCATCAGAGAACTGGAAAACGAATAGATTCTTCATGAGACGCTTTCATTCAGATAATCGTTCAATCTTGCGAATGTCCAGATTCCATTCCGTAAAACTAACTGGATGACTACTTCGTCAAATTACAATACTTGAATACTTGAGCGTGAGAACAGCAATGGAAACATGTGCAAAATCATGTTGCTGTAATGTATAGCATCGATTTTTTCTTCAGTATCAATGTTTTCTTCAATGATTTTGTTAGAATTGCTAATAACTCAGTTCACCTCTTTTCCATTTCGACCAGTAATCTTTAGCATTCGAATCTTGAAACAGCTTACCAATATCATATCTGGAATCTTAAGTCTCAAATCTCCGCAAAGTAAAAAATTTGAACGTATGGGTGGCAGGAATATATCGAATTTCAACTTTACAAATAAGATGAATAAATGCCGGGCGATTTGCAAAATTCGCTCCCTAATAGACGAGATTAATTACCCTCAATGCATCACAATGATAGAACTATGAAAGGTTCAGTCGAAAACTTTTGTTCTCGTGGATTGTTGATGGGATTGAAGAAGTGACTGTCAATCTGTCAGATTGGGTTGTGTAACATTCTAGAACTCCTTAAGATAATCTAAAGGCAGAGCTAAAAACATTCACTCAAACACTCGTTCTCCCACTGCCTAAAAGAATTCAAGGACTCGACGGCCTAAAATGTGAAGTTCTGAAATCTAAAATGCATTTTAAATTGTTGAATTACTAGATGACGACACAAAAAACAAATGCAAGCAT